TTGTGGAAGTAGACAATGATATGGGGCTCAAGAAAAGAAACTAACAAAAGCATCTTGCAAGATCCGAGTAAGCTTAGAATCACGATAAGGAATATGATTTGCTCTCCCTTGTGGACTACCAGTTAATGCATTTATTACATTCCCTAGAGCCGAAAGGGATTTGTTGATGTTTTTGGCTTCTTCAAGGACTCTACCTTCAGCTCCAGTCTTCTCTACTTTCTCAGACCCCGCTAAGTCTACAAGAATTACCTTTCCAGACCTGTGCACAGATTTCAATTGTTTAAAAAGCTCATTATATTGTTCAAAACAGCTAGATTGAGGAATACCTTTTCTCCTTCTTTAGATCCTGCTTGATGGTGAATATATATACACAATGACTTCTACTGCTTGCCATATTCATTTCTGTATATGGTAAATATTACAAATATAATTCTAAAGCCAATCAAAATGACAGCCAGGACAGAAGTTTCAAATAACTTCTTCTACAATTAAAAAGGGAACCGATGTAATATGTATGCAAGCTAAATAAAAAAAGATAGAAGGATACGGGTTTCTCCCACTGCTCTGTTTGCTATTCCAATCTGCATTACGAAGAACTATATCAGCAACTGAACTATATTAACATGACTTGTAGACAATGGTGGGAACTTTATTCTTACAGACAGACTTCGCAATGCCTCAGCAGAATCTGATATGCAAATCTGGAAAGTAAAAAAGGTCAAAGCTGTTGAAATTTTGAATTGAGAGTAAAACGGTAAGAAGATAGATGTAAAAAATTATATCGGAGAATGAACTGAGTCATTTTCCAACATCCAAATTATATAAAAACAGACTTAGACTTGACACAGTATACTTCCAGTAGATAATACAGAATTAAAGCTGGATTTACTTTTACTACACAAACATCCAAGTTCTGGAGCAAGACTAAAGATGTGATAGTTGGTAATTATAAATTAAAATGATTTGACTGGATACAAGTTAAATTTAACCAAAATCAATTTCCTTTGACTTCCTCAATTCTGCAACTTTATTAGCTTATTTAAAGTAATTGCAATTTTTACAGTGAAATCACTCTCTCTGCACATTCACGATAACTTTGTAAATAAAAAGTGGCATATACTCAATTAGAATCTTGAAAATATCTAAACTGAACATGCCTTACATTCACACATCTCTCAGTGGAGAAGTCATTTATCCCATTAGAATGTGTGAAATTGTTCTTGTAGGCAAGAAAAAAATGTCAAGAAGGAATTTTAGCTTATGCCAAAGGCTTATACTGGCTTTTCTTAGATCATTAAACAGACTTCCTATTCGAAGAGGCAGATAATAAAGACGTTAATTGACCATAACAGTCTAATTTAGTTTAATAGAATGATGCTATCATTACAATGAATCAATTTGGGGGGAGTGGTACTACCTACCTCAGTCGCTCCAGATACAGTTATTCCCTGTGCTTTGGTTTCCTTTATCAGTAAGTTGTCCTTGGATAAATCAAAAAGGTCCCTGAGGAATGAAAGTGCTGATAAATTAATTATAAGAGGGGATGCCAGTTTCCCAGTACAATATCAATTCAACTCCATGATAACAAACTAGGCAATTGCTAATAAAGATTTGGGGGAAAGTTTTATATGGAGTTAAACGGTCATCTTAAGTGATCCAAACCTTACTCTCTCCATATATATCTCCACCTGCAAGCTCAGATAAAGAATAGTGAGAATTTTATCAGTAATAAGAACACAAAACGTGAAGTATCAAATATATAGTCATAATAGGCCTCATACCATTGATAGGTTGATTGTATACTTGGTCGTCTCTTCTGAAAGTCTAATAGCACTGAAAAGGTCATCTACTACTCTAGGTAGTAACCCTTTCTTATTTTCATCACAATCCATAATGCTTGGTCCCTAAACCGAGATGGCTGAATGAGCATTTTATAGGCATACTGGAATTATATATTCATGAACATCACATTACCTCCATGCTGTAAGTCTTCCCTGCTCCTGTCTGGCAAAATATATACAATAGTATCAAAAATGAAAAAAAAAAAAATTGCTAGATGATCTAGAAGCCTTGACAAGTCAATTATAGTAAACAAGAGTATAGATCTGCACATGCATTTAATCTTAACACCTGAGCATGTTGGTAACCTGATTTTCTATTCAAAGAAAAGTAAGATAGCTTCAGTAAATGTATAAATAATGCCTAATGTTGGGCAGCAAGCAGAGACTAAAGCGCAGTACTAAAAGAGTTTTTTTCTCAAAATAAATCAACCACTGTTAAGGCTTCCAGCAGCACCCTCACAAATTATGGATCTTATGTTAATAGTTAAAATGTATGAGAATACTTCTGTAAGGGAACAAGTGATCACCCAACACAACTAATTTTGCAAAAATTGAAGACTCTAAGAAAATCTATTTTAGTGTTTTCTTGGTGTAGTGCCTTCAAAATTTGACGTCGTGGATAGGGGATCAGTTGCATGTTTAAGTGCAAAATCTCACAAATTGATGATTCATCGATCTATTAATTCATTAAAAAACAAAAAAAAAATGCACACTGCTGATTCAGTCAAATGATTGTTAAAAGTTTCCAGACAAAACAGGAGCTATACCTGACCATATGTAACAATTGCCCCATTTACACCCTCAACAGCACCTATATGGTCCAATCCAACATTTATAAGGGGGGGATGAAGTGAAAAACAAACAATATTCTAGTTTGTGAAAAGACAATGCACAGATTAAAATTCAATACTACCTTTGACAACAGGCAGAGCAAGGAATTCATATATCTTAGCCTGCTCTGATCTTTGATAGAAAACTCTATCGAAATGGAACTCAAACTCTTCTTCTTTGTCATCCTACCAAATATATTATCCAAATTCACAGACACATAGACATGTATTATCCAAATAAAAACTTATATTTTCTAATTTTTATTTAGCGCAAAGCACACTTGCATGCTGTTTGTCAGAGTAAGTACGTTTGCATTCATATGACCCTCAGCATTCAAATATATATCTAGATTTAATTTTCTGAAATGAAAATTCAAAAACCGATAAATCATACTCCTATAACTAAATACATATACACGTAACAAGATAAGCCATAAATTAAATGTATTTTCAACCTTCAATAAGAAAGAATCAGAATCGACAGCGCGAATGCAAACAGTATCACCATGATCGGAAACTTCCTTTGCATTCAACGGCCTGAATAATGCGCATACTCTTATATTTGGCATCCTTCCTTTACTTTTTCTGTCAGAAATTTGATCCAAAGACTATCGCAATGAATTGAGGAAACGAATAAGTATTTTGTGTTCTCGACTTATATATTCTTTCAAAAATTTTATGCAATGCATAAAATCAGCATGCTGATGCTTGTGTGTGTCGTGAGAGTGAGAGAGAGTGTAAGAAAGAGAAAGGACCTAAGGAATTGAAGATTCTGAAAAATGGAAATTGGGTGTTTTAGGCTTTTAGCAGAATTTCCCGCCAATAACTGAGCTCGGATATTCTGGTTTGGTTTGTAGAAAATTGGGCGGGCCGGATATTTGACCGACAAATTTGAAGCCCGGCAAAAGGGGGGCCGAAAGAAAAAAAGGTTGAACAGTAAAAAAGAATATTAAAAATGACGACTCCGCTGGGGATCGAACCCAGAATCTCTGGTTCCGTAGACCAGCGCCTTATCCATTGGGCCACGGAGTCTCATTTATTCCTGGGTACGAAATTAAATAATGTAATACTATATTTTTGGTCGTCTGACAACGTCTTACGCCATCGTATCAAATTACGTAGTTCTTACTAATGAGGAACCCACTTTCTAGTTGCTTTTAAATTAGGCCAGGTTTTCTCTCAACTCGAGATGTAATCTTGGACATAGTCATATTTTAACTCATGTCAAGATATTAATTTGAAGTTGACATAAAATTGGCAACGCTTGATATTGGTATAAAATTGGTACACTTGATACAATATTTTGCTCATCCTTTTCTTGAAAAAAAAGTATTAATAGAGTTGAATACTTCTCATAGAGCAAGTTATATGAGAATCACTTGATCTTTTAACAAATTTAAACTTTTTATTGAAACGAAAAACGATGCGATGACAAACTTTAACAAGAAACATCAGAAGATTATATAATTCAAAATAGACTTTATCAAAGATCTCGGTAGGATTTATTATAACAAAAATGTTACGTTCAATTAAAGATGGCAACGGGGCAGGGCACCCCCGCCCCATTTCCTGCCCCCCTATAATTTTCAGTTAAAATATAAATTC